GATAGGTAGGCAACCCGCAACAGTCGCTAGTGACGTCACACCCGGGTCACGTGACATAGGTCCCGTCTTAAAGGTCAAGTCCCGAAACGATAGGTAGGCAACCCGCAACCAGTGATCTCACACCGGGGTCACGTAGCTCCCGACTTAAAGGTCAAATTTGTGGCAATATCCCTATATATACACTACTCATCGGTGAAGGCCTGATGGACTTTCGGAGTTTCAGATCTGTCGGTACTCTCCCTATACAGGTACTCTAGTACGTTTGATTTCAATGCACGGTGAATACTGTACACGGAGAAAAAAACTCCGTGCGTGGGACCCGAAGTTTAGGTCGTATGGATCTCTGAAGTTTTCGGATTGAGCATCTAAACACTTTAGGTCCAGCTGCTGAGGTTTGGATCACGCATCTGAAACTTCAGTTCTTACATCTGAAGTACTTCGGTTTTCACATCCGAAAAACTTCGGTTCTCACGTCCGAAAACTCTGAAGTACTTCAGATGTAAGAACTGAAGTTTCGGATGTGTGATCCGAACCTCGACAGCTAGACCTAAAGTGTTCAGATTATCAGTCCGAAAACTTCAGAGATCCAAATGACCTGGACTTCGGGTCCCACGCACGAGGTTTTTTCTCCGTGTAACTAATCAGAGCAGAGGCAGGCTAGGTGAGACGAGATTCGTAAAATACCATGAAACAGGATATTTTGATTCGCGGAGAATCAGTGCGGGAAAGAATTTGGCGTCCAATCTGGAACTAAATTATATCTACCGATTGGGTCAGTATTCATTCATATTAATGCACCCTATTAAAACAGGATTATTTTCAGGTGCGGCAGAGAATTAATGAGGGCCGTTCTACCGTGCTAAGGAAAAGCGCCGTATGCGCCTTCAGGCGTTGCCAAATTCTCTTAGACAAATCAGTAATTTTCAGGAAAATTTGTAAATATTTTCCATTCGATTTTTCAGATAATTTTTTATAAAGTACCTGGAATTTCAGGGGAAAATATTCATAACTTTCCTAAAAAGTAAACATTTTATCGGAGGAAATTTGGCAACTCTCGAATGTTCATACGGCGCTCTTCCCTAGTACGGCAGCGTTGCCCCCGGTTGCATCAGTACATAACCGCCGCGCCGTCTGCGAGTAAGTAAATTTAATTTTGAGGCTCGGAATTACTTTTGCACTGGAACCCCTCTAAGTACAGCGGTCTTATTTGAGTTCGGAACATCCGATTAGTCCCTTCCAGACACTCAAACTGGAGTGTCAGTCTGGGGGTATGTAGCTGTTGGACCTCAAAGGTCCGCGAGCTGATGACTTTTGAGCAACAACTCCGAATAAACTCTCACCGGACGCTGTGCTTGACTGTGACTTGAGCAATCGTGACATCTGAGAGTGATACCACTGCTCGGCCACGTAGGAGCTCGGGTTGCCTACACTGAAAACTGAAGGCAAGCCGACAGTGAGGTAAAGTCACCGCTCCACGCTACCTTCAGGAATTATTTCTGTTTTTTTCCTCGAGCAATCGTGATATCTGAGAGTGATACGACTATTCGGCTACGCGAGAGCTCTTGTTGCCTATACTTAAAACCGAGGGTAAACTAACCCTGAACTACCGTCAGATCCAAGACGTTTTTCCAGGTTATTTATGATGCTAAGCGATTCCCTGATAACGATTTCCCTGATTCGCAATTTTTCGGGTAGATAGACGCCCTGATATTTCTCGTTGTCATATCTTACGTTTGAAGATCTTTAAAAATCAGTCAGGACCTTCGGAATCTGTCTTCGTAGTATTCCCTACCCTCAGCCATTTGGTTTTTTATCTAAGTACTTTGTCGGTATGTTGGAGTTTTTTAGCCAACGTGCGTTAATAATTCAGCATAAAGCTGAGAATCTCAATACAGAGGGAAGAAGCTCACATGAGCACAATTTTCCCTCAAAGAGATATGCTGTTGGGTGCAACACTAGTTACGACCTTTCAGCACCAAACGGCATATCTCTTTGAGGAGAAATTGTGCTCGTATGAGCTGTTTCCCTCCGTATTGAGATTTTCAGCATTATGCTGAATTTTTCACGCAGGATGGCTGAGAAACTCCAACATACCGTCTTACGACCCGTGCGTCCACCGTAATCAGTTTGTGTAAGTACTTGAGTATTTGTATTTATTTCTGATGTAAGCTTCATTCCTTTCTTAGTTTCTTATATGTATAAAGCCCCGCTCTGAATCCTGAATTTGGATTTTTTATAACCCTTATGAATTTATCATACAAAATGATCATTTGCGAAATTCGTGCTTTTTTCTTAATAATTTTTTCGAGGAGCAATCATTATTGGTTTTACCCCTAGAAAAGTTTGTGAACTGGCAACAATGGCTCAATTTTATTTATCGACTCAGGGCTCTAGTTCCGGTTCCTTTTGGGATGTCGCATATCCACGTGAAACTGCAAAAACGCGTATCTTGTTTGCGGTGGCTCAAACTCTCCACTCCGATTTTATCTCATCAAAGGAGGACAAACCAACGCTATTGCTTGAAATTTTTACTGAATATTCTTTACAAATGAGAAGGAAATTCAGGGTAGTTTTCAATAATCGGCGTAAAGCCTTTTCTGTTTAAAAAATAAATAATGAAAAATAAATTTGCAGTGTCGCAAACTGAGATACGCGTTCCTGCAGTTTGAATTTCACCATCGGCAGGGTTGCCGTAGTCAGGGAATACCAGGAAACCCGAGAAATGTCAGGGAATTTTGAAAAGTCAGGGAAACTCTGAAAATTTCAGGGATAATCACGAAAGTGTTAGGAATTTTTTTTTTAAATTTACCTCTATTAGCTTTCTAGAGTGGATTTGACGTTTAGAACAACACATTTTGCCTGGAAACTTTCAAATCGTGTCTTTTAGGCTGTATTGCATATCTTTAATTTTCCGGGAATTTTACCAAAAAGTGTCAAGGAAATCAGGGAAATGTCAGGGAATTTCATTTTCTAAATTTTGTGGCAACCCTGCATCGGCATTGTCGTCGTGCTCTGCTGTGCTGAGGAAGAACGCTGTATGAACATTCAAGAGTTGCCAAATTTTCCCAAATCAAACAAGTATATTTGAAAAGAGTATATATTTTCCCTTGAAATTTTCAGATATTTTAGATTTAATTGTGAACAAAATTTCTGAAAAATTTGAGAAAAAATTGTCAGAATTTTCCCAATGAATTCGTTTTTTATTGAAGGAGAAACGGCAACGCCTGAATGCTCCTACGGTGTTCTTCCTTAGCACGGCACACAGTGGATCGCATCAATCACAGAGGTCTGACAAGAATTTTTTTACAAAAACTGCAAATTTTGAAGTTTATTTCATCACCCGTCAAATTTCAATAGGTCTCTATCGAGGAAAATTTCAAAGGGGAAACCAATACAACCAATTTTAAAACCTCAACTTTTCGTATAAATGGAGTTAAACGCTTTTAAAGTTTCCTTTGTCCGACCTCTTTCATTGACTCGATCCACCGTGCGGCAGTGCTGTCACCCGGACTTACCAATGCTTTCTCAAAGATGGACCGCATTGATTAAAGGCCGAGGCAGTGGCCGAGGGCCAGCGGAGGCCCTCTCGGAGCATTTCGAAACCAACGGTTTCAAGAGCAGGTCCAGGGCCACTTATTGGAGGGCAGTGGGAGACGGAGGGATTCATTCAAGGGAACAGTTAGACAAAGGTGGTTATATAAGCGACGAGTTACGTGACATCGCATTCCTGGTGCCTGCTCGCCGCAGGTCCACGCGCGGAATCGCACAGTTCAACGGAGAATGTCGTGGGCACAAAGCGAGGTATCAAGTTCGTTGATGCGATGTACGTTCGATATTTACGTTATTGGTTCGAATTCAAGGTTGATTTACGAATGAATCACGCGAAACACTATCTTTGAACCAATTTTCTTGAACTATAACACGGCAAACCCCTCCTTGGCTCGCATAAATATGTGATGCTGTTTAAAATTAGTATGAAGGGGTTTGGGGGATTCAGGATTGGGTTGGGGGGTTTGGAGGTCCCCGTGTTGGTCTTAACTTAAATTAATTGGAAGTATTAGAGCATTCCTGCATTTTAGGAGATGAAAGCGGCAGAAAAGGAAATAGGACTTCATTTTGCAATTAGGAATTATAATTTTTGGCTCATCCGAAAAAACACTTATGTGCGTAGGGAAACTAATGGTACATACGTTGTGTTGAAACTGAACCAGAACTTATATGTACTAATCGCAGAATTTAGTCCGCAATTTTGCTCATTAGGTATAGGTACTTGGTTTTGGCCGGACTCGATTAATGACACTTATCGTGTTCCACTTTTCTTAGACCAATTACTTACGCGCTTATAAGTTCGTTAATTATTCTAAAAATAAGATTGAATGAACATATCGCAACGTCCATGGGTCAGTTGCTGCGCTTATCACAGAATCGTGTTCTGCTGTTTTAAGTGTATAGATTAGGAAAAACTAGTCTGCTCTAGTCAAATGCCAAACTACAATTCATTGAGAGATGTAAAATGTTTGAAGTTTCGTGAAATTTTTACTTTCCTGAAGAGTGATTTTCCATGTTTCTAGGGGTTTTCAGGGGCTACGTTAGGTACACAATGCAACCCGCAACAATTATCCGAGAATGTGTCAATGAACTTTTGAAGACTCATAATATTTTTTTTTTCTTCAAAATTTCAAAATCAAGAGTTTACGTACTCTCTCTTTCCGTTTCATGGCGTGCTGATTTTGAGTCCATTGCATAAGTTTTAAAACATTTTATGCTGAGTTTCGTGACCCATCAATATGAATGGCATTATGGCTTGGAAGAAGGGAAAAGGCCAACATTTTTGTTTTCTTTCCCCAACATTAAAAAACTTTCGAAAAGGGGGAATTTTCAATGGCGCAAAGATCAATACCATTGCATCAAGAGGGATATTATAGCCAACAAGAGAAAATCCTATAAGATACCGGAAAAAACACAGAATGAGTAAAACCCACCTACTCAAACTTCAAAAATTTGCCATTTACATAAAATATATATTTCTGATCGCAATTTTGCCAGCTTGTAAGTGATGAAAGATTCTAGAAATGAATGACTTTATAGAATGGAATTTTATAAAAAGACGCATGAAGCTGCAGAAAAGTCTTGCAGTTGACGTAAATCACTCACATTATGTAAGTATATGAGGACTTATCTGTAACAATAGTGGATGTGAAAAATTACCTTTTCGACACACATCCAAAAAACTGTTTTGGCATCGAGAAAATTTTGAGAAAATACTCGAGATGTGATCTTCGAGATCTGTACATTATGCCAGAGCCAAACATATTAAATTTTTGTGTGAACAGAACGTTTTTTTAACGTGTTTCGAAAAGGTAATTTTTCACATCCGCTATTGTTACAGATAAGTCCTCATATGCTCGTAAAGTGTGAAATAAAACTTCGTAAATAGAAATTTAGCGTTAGAAAATTACTGATCAAAAACACAGCTGGCGTCAAACATAAAAATATAACTAAAAATTTGACCGGAAAGTGGTAAAAACTAGGACAAATTAAAAAATAAATCTAAAGATGCGACGAAAAATTATCCATAGTTTGCTTAAGTGGGTAGTTCAAGTTTGAACGATTCTTTCTGAGGTGTAAATCACCATTACAAGACAGTATTGTGTGATTTCAAACAAGCTGCAATATTGCTTCAGACGTTGCTAAGGCAAGCTAATAGCCCTGGCCACTCAAAGCTTGTCAAGCGAGATGAATGTGTGTTTTTCGAATAGATAACTATTCGCACTCCGCGGTGAGTCTGTTGCCTACACGGGTAAATTGAAGGCGAGCTTTAAGCACACGATCTTTGCCAATTTGTTTACGTATTGTTCGTTGGTTCTGTCAAAGTCTATGGAGCAAGACAAATGTGTTTTTCGAATAAAGAGTTGGAGAAAAATGATTCATAACTTGCCTAGGCTGTCAGTTCAAGTTAGAATGATTCACTCCTTAAATGTAGGTTATCAGTTAGATATATTATTGCTTGATTTCAAACAAATGCCTCGAGCTGAAACGACCTCAGAAATTGGTAAAGGAGTGAAAAATTAGCAGCGGTGCTTAATCAAAGATTGTAGAATGAAATGAACGTGTGTTTTTCGATTGGATAACTATTCGCTCTCTGCAGTAAGTTTGTTGCCAGTGTTGCCTATGCGGGGAAATGGAAGGCGAGCTTAAAGCATGCGATCTCTGCCAATAAGTTTACGCATTGTTCGTTGGTTCTGTCAAAGTCTGTGGAGCAGTATTTTTTTAATACATGACAATTTGCGATATCTGCTAATAGGTTTATACAATGTTCGTCGGTTTTTCAAAGTTAATGTAGCGAGATAAATGTAGGTGTTTTTAAGAGTTTACTTTTCGTGCGTTTCAGTAGATTTGTTACTTTTTCGAGAAAATTGACGGCGACGAGGAACTTTAAATGAACGATGTATTTATAAAAAAGGAGAAGTGTTGAACTCCTCTTGCATGGCACGGGTTGATCAGGCACTTTTTTTGATGAAGATCTCAGGCAGAGATTTTGATGATGTAATGTTTCACCCATTCTAACATTGGAATAGGAAATCCAAGTTCGCTTCAAAAGTCCTCATATTCTGTACTCAAAAATAAATGACATTCAACAATCAAAGCGAGACAAAATAAAAAGTGTCGTTCTTAGAGTCTTTTTTGGACTAATTTTGACCTTAAATTGATGTGGAGTTCATTTATCTGAAAGCTAATTACACCATTCGAGAGGCAGTAAAAAATGCAAGAGTTCGGTCTGATAACGCATAGTAAGCAGAGTTGCCGTCTTCTGAAATCCGCTCATATTGATGAGTGTATACTTCGCGTTTATGACCGTGTTGTCAAGTTTGATCAAGTTTTTCCTTTCGAGTTCAGTTCTTCATTTAGTTCGAAATGGGAAAAATAATCCAGGAAGATTATCCCATCGAAATTGGTGTAAACCAAAAAAAATGGTGCCTTCACAAGTCTTCTCTGGTGGACTGCAAAAGATTTGCTAACCTTGACTATGGGTCTCCACATAAAAGAAAACCTTATGCAAAAACGGCCAAATCCCCCGTAGCTCTGACCCCTTTCATTTTTTAGTATGTTATTCTACTATAAAAAGAAGCCCATGTTCTGATAGTTTCCAAGTCCCACAAAAATTTACCCGCCTGATTGCAGCGTTGCCAAGTCGTCTCATTAAAAATTGGAAAAATTTGAACTTGGGCAAACCGTAGGTCAATAACTTAATTGGTTCAGAAGTTATCGAATTTTTAAGGTGGCAACTTAGCAACGCTCCCATCGCCCGGGAAAATTTTTGTAGGACTGGAAATTATTAGAAATCGGGATTCTAGCTATGATAGAATATCACACTAAAAATGGAAGCAATCTGAGCTACGGCGTAATGTTCACATTCCTCTTTAGACGGAAAAAGAGTGAAGGACATTTATGTTGGCTGCATTTGGGTGCGAATCTGGTCGTTTAACGCAGAAAACTCTCGTCAGGAAAAGCAAGAAAAATTCGTGAATTCAACGGAATCGTTGAGATGCATTCCGATGTTTTTATGGTTGTAAATTAACAAACCTTTTTCCAAGCATGCACGTGCTTTTAAGCAAATTACATTTTCCAAAAACGTAGAATTTCCTGGGAAAACTTAGATTTTCTGGAGAAACTCGGATTCTCCCGGAAAACTCAAGTTTTTGGTAAAATCCTTACGCTTTGGGGAAAAGTGGATGGTATTCCTGATTTAGAGCCAATAATCTACCAGTAATTACCAACAATGATCCTTCTTTACATTTCGGCTGTAGACTTGTGACAATTCCTACTAATTTCTAATTTCTATTTTTAATATCGAGAAAACATTGATTTTACTGAAGTGGTATTTTAATTTGAACTTTAAAATATTTCGAAACGGGGGAATTGAACTCTTCAAGAAAATTAGCATGTAAATATATTTCAAGGAAACTTGTTTTTCTGCGTACGAGGTAATTGATCAAAACAAAATAAAAAAAAAAAGGCAGTTAGGTCCTCTGCAGAGTTTGCAGTGTTGAAACCGGTTGCAAGTTCATAAACAAGGGGAGTGAGAAAGTAAAAATAACTCGAATCTTCAACGCGTGATGATTTTCCGGACAAATTTCACCAACCACCTGATACGTTTTGAAAATTGTTTTCCATTTGTTTTCAGGCACTCTCGAGCTATAGGCTTGCCTTACACGACGTGAGGGGCAGCGGGGTTTTTTTCATAGGGGACTGGATATCCTCTCTCGCTCTCCCTGAAGAAGGTAATGCTTAACTTTTTATTTTAGCTTGATTTTTTCCGAACACAAGTATGCATATTTTTGGTCTGGAGAAAGGGGGGGGGTCGGGGGCCAAATTATTCCCTGAAAAGATTGTGACATCTTGTCCCTTTTTCCCCCTTGCCTCTTTTATCTGAGACCCTGCGGGAATATCCCATGATGCCACAAGCATGAACACAAGCGTCAAAATTGGAGATTTCAATCACGTACAAACAAACAAAGCAACTTTTCACAGTGATGTAACCTTTATGTAACTTTTTTCCTTTTTTGGACCCCTCCCCTCCTCCATGTCAAGTCCCCTCTCCTCTTGCCCTCATCCAAAGGGTTGCCAGGTGGTGCTGGACACTCTAAGCACTCAACGCCAATTGAGGGTAGCCCCCGAGATAAAACGACTTTCCCGAGGGCGCACCACGCACCCAGAGGAAGCGAAACCCATGCCAATTATTCAACAAAAGTTCTTTACCTTGGCTCCATTCTGTCCAGGACTGGTGGGCTTATCCTCGAACTTTGCAGCCTCTGGGCTGGAATCCCTTTTCGCACTGACCGGTGCCGTGATGGATAGGATCTGCTCTTTGATGTTGGGCGTTTTGGGGGCTTGGGCGGGGGTGGCGGGAGATTTTGGCGGGGTGGCCGCCGTTTTCTCGGGCGCGACAGGGGTGGGGGTGCGATTCTCGGCGGCGAGCATTTGCTCGCTAAGGGTGGTCGAACTCTGACTGAACGAGACGTCGGGGCTGGACTTTTCCGCGTCGAGGAACTCGGTCTCCGTTTCGATCTCCTCCACACTGGGCGGCAAGGAGGTCGCTGACGAATGGTCCGACAGGGCCGACAGGGTCACGTTACTCCTCGCGTCCGAATAGTCGTCCTCGGTCGTCGTTACGCTGTCCGGCGGCGAAGGGACCGGGTTCTTGGGCGGGGACGGCGCGTCCTTGTCCTTCTTCCCCAGTTTGCCCAACTTCCCCAGGCTGAGCTTGCGACCGATCGATCCCTTCCGCTTACCCTTATCGTCGAGGGTCTCCGTGGAACTCGACACCTCCTCCGCGCCTTTGGACAGCTTCCCCTTTTTCAACTTCTTCTTGCTCGCGTCCAAATCCTCGCTCTCACTATCCGACTTCTTCTTCGACTTCCCTTTCAGCCCGAGCGAACTCCGGAACGACGAACTGAGTTTCTGTTTGCCTGACCCGGACGCGGTCGACTTAACTGACTTGGCGGATCCCGGCGATGAACCGGCCGAATTCACCGTATCCGTGCTCCTGTTCATCCTGGCGACACTTAACACGACACTATTAACCGCACTCGGGGTGGTTTTTCAACGTATCGCGGCACTTTGGGGGGATGTGGGGGGGATTTAACGGGAAGACGTGTGTGGATCGGTGCGATGACTGTTGGTGAGCCGCGCGGCACTGTGCGTTTGAGGGCAGGAATCCGAGTGTTATGTAACGACGGGAGGGACTCTGAGCTTATGTAACGCTCCGGACGCGGCCGAGTGCATCTCACGAGTATCCGCGACGGCCGTTCCGTGCCTTGCTGCTCCTGCCCCGCCACCAAGATACAAAGCCACTGGCTTTATCAATGGAGCCCACTCCTGAGTAGTCGATCCACGCTCCGCTTCTCAAGAGCACCTTCCTCCGCTGTTAGAGGTTGAAGACTGTTTTGGAGTTGGTTTTCGGCTCCTCGCTCCGCTCCTCTGGACCCCGCAGCGCTGATCGCTCGCAGGGGGTGGGCTATTCTTCTCACGCGGGGCGCGGGCGGTGGGGAGAGAGGAGGGTTTAAATATTTCCGCGGCTCCCAGGCGCCACTAGTGTTTCCTCGAAATTGTGCTACAAGCGTGAGTAATGCGACTAATCGCGAATCGAAGTACCCTGGTAACGGCCACCGGCAACAAATATTTCTTGAAAAATCTTTTAAAAAACTTCTGTGTAAAAATTTTGTTTTGGGGGATCTTTTTTGAATATTTTTTTAGGTAACATTTTCGTATTATGAAGTTTCGTAGGTAAATAATTTTTTGAGGAAGCCACTTTTTTTATAACAATTTTGCAAATATTGTAAGTGTTGAAAAACTCCGGTAGATTTTTCTGAGTTGTTTTTTAAAGATTTTTTCTCCTTAAATTTTACGTGTTCGTAAATTTTTTTTAAAGAAATTCCCAAACTTCATGTTCCTAAAATGTTGCTTTTTCACAGTTCCCATTAAAACAGTTGTCAGTTTTAGGAAAAGTTTAATTTGAATTACTTTTTTTAAATATTTTTTTTAACAGTCGTTGCTACCTAAGATAATCTTCACAGTCATCATAATCATCATTATCATCATCTACTTCTTCTCCTTTTCTTCTTTTTCTTCAGTGTAATCTTCCTCTTCCTTCTCAGAGAGTTTTATGACTATTTGAGGTGTTCAAGAGGGTTTGAAGGGCAATGGGGTATCAAGGGTAATAGTCCAGGAGTAACTTAGGATGGCTCCAACAACTGGATTGCATTTTGAAAAAAGGAACCAAGAGCATTCCAAATTGCTAGGATAGTGCATCTTACATTCTTTAAAATAAAAGTATTGAAATCATGAAAAAATTCAAATTCAAAAAACGTAATTTTTGTCTTGAATTTATAGTATATCGGGAGCACAGATAAAACTCGTTTAGATGATCAGATTATATTTGCTAGGTAAAAAATGTTGCACTGTCTTAGCGTCATTGGAATACTCTTGGCTCCTGTTCGCAAAATGCAATCCAACCATGATGTGTGATCCACACATGCGGAAGGATACCTTAACCGAATCGAGGAATCAGCGCAGGTCAAAGAAAAATACCTGTGTTGAGGCGTGGAATAGGAAAAGAAGAAGGGGTGGATGTAAAATGGCGAACAATAGGAATAGGATAAACTCAGAGAGAAAAATTAAGATGGCCTGATGAAGAGACGCCTAAAACATGAGCTCAGAGAAGCGCGACTCATTAGAAGCGAGCGTCCATGCGAGATGGAACCTTTTTTTAAAATTGAAGGATGCCATAAACGGCGGACTAGTGTGAAATATTTCACGTGAATTTGATCATTCTATTAAAAGTTATCTAAAATCGAAAGGTAGTAATAACTTCATTTTGATGACAGCTCTGAGGACCGAAGTTGAAAAGAAAATCTAAAGTTCTTCTTCAAATGGAAGTACTGGTACCCCTTACGTTTGACCGAAGAACAGAGGATTTGAACTTATATCTCTGTAGATTCTTTCCTCAGTGTCAGTAAATGATTACCGTGGTATGAATAAAGTGTCGTGAATGTAGGTATCAATTTTAAGCTCATCAATTATTTATCATGACTTATTTTCTTTAATTTTTTAGAGATTAAAGTGTTTCTTGCCCAGTCCTTCAATTTTTTTTGCCTTTGCTTCATAGGAAGTCGTTATAGAAATCAAATATTATTAAATATACCATAAAATCCGCAATAACTTATGAACAGCTGAAGACGACTAATCGATGAGTTTGTGTTTATGGTCAACATTACTGAGAAATAATCAATTCAACCTCTCGTTTACGAAAAAACCCTAATCACAATGTTGGTCAAATCGCACGCCTTTAAAAAATGAATTTTATCCTTCGACAAACAACTTAGGCATGTTGGATTCCATAAAAAATATACGTATCACTCTGATCTATAGTGTATCCAAAGTCAAGAAAAAATTAGCGAACTGAGGAAGCAATGCCATTGTAAGTGTAAGCCACGCCGAAATCCACTTTTTTCTCAATTCGATTGAAGTAGTCGTGGGTATTTTGACAAACGGAGTTTAAATCGACAAGCACAGAAATGCTAATTCCTCATTCATGAACTGAATTCGGATTTTTTTTTGTCCAGCCTGTGTAGTATTTTAATGATATGTATTGTGACGCTGGAGTGCTTATCCTGCACAGTGTATAGGGGTACATTTTTCATTAAACGCAAATATTGACAAAAAATGAGCTTTGTTGGCTCATTTTTGTCAGTGTCATTTTTTACAGGGTGTTATGTAATGATGGACTGGGGCCTCGGTTCCCCATGTCACACGATGGAGCGAATTGATGAGAGTGGTCGAACATGATGTGAAAACACAAAAAGCGTTAATCTTCGTCGATATTCATGTGCCACTAGTTTTCTCGCAAAATTTTCATGTGGAAGCACTTCTTAAAATGTCTGATGTGATGGAAAAAGTATCAAAATTTGCAATTATAACAGAAAATTTCATGTCCAACATCTCCCAACGGCTGTTCCACTGTGCGCCACGTCCGTGGTTGAGGCCCGAACCCCTCCCCACTTTCCACTCCTCCACTTATTACGTAATTCTGACGTAGTCCTCCCTTTGCTCTGGTACTCTTTCCACAAATTTTCTTTGCCTGTGATAGATTAAGGGGAAGGGGGACTTGAGGCGAAAATTGGAAAACATGAAAGAAACAAGTTAATGTCTTATACATACACTGGAAGACAAATTGTATTTGGTTATCAAGGAATTATTATATAAATGTTAGGAATATCAAATAAAAAAATACTTAAATTTGGCCGTTTTTTGCCCTTGAAACTATTCTACGCACTCTGTAATGACAGTGAAGGTCCGAGAAGTTTTTGGAAGCAAGTTCAGATTCAGCGGTGCCATCTATGGGGAAAGAAATATTTTACTCAAGGTTTATTTTTCCTCTATGATGTATTGCTCGCAATTACACAACAGCAAAATAAAGAGCACTTCAGCTTTGGCCGATTCTTTGCACTCGGAACTATTTAAGGCGACATGTTGTGACAATGAAATGAAAGTCAGATGATTATGAAAGGCTGTGTTTTTACCATTCTTATAGAGGAAAACTTTTACCCGGCACTTATCAAATCCCTCGTTGTTCGTAATTTAGAATGCCTACAGTTGCATCGGAAAAGTAAAAAATAACTCAATTTGACTGTTTTTTCCCTCTCGGAATTTCTAGATAACCTTTAATGACAGCGAAAGTCCGAAAATTCGTGGGGAGCAAGTTTGCACTATCTAAATGTCAGAGTATACTTTATATCGGTTTTTTATTTCCCTGTCTTGCAATACCCACAATCCGTCGCTCTGCTAACGCAACGGCGTATCCCCGTTTCCGCGGCTTTTTCCGACGGCCCTGTTTTCCGTACATGGAATAAGAAGAAGTAAGGGTTTAAATCTCAACTTGGACATTTCCAATTAATTGTGGTAGAACCCCAATAAATTAGGTCACCAACCCAGATATCGCAGTATTACCCCAACTTGATTTGCGGTACTATCAAAATCATCCATATCATCCAACATGTTGGGTTAGCACCACAATTTTAGGGGACAACCCCTAACTCTTTTTCCCCGTGAATAGTTGCTTTCCACGGCATTTATTGAAATAGAGATACGCTCTCACGTCAGAGAAGCGACAGATTGAGTGCTTAAAAGTTGCCAATGAGCCCGAACTTTTCCATTTTTTCATCCTCGGGGAATCTTTTTCAGCTTCTTTAATTAGAATTACAAATTCCTAGTTCAATGCATATTTTAGGAAAATAAAATATTGCAGGACTCAAAATATGTGTCTTAATGGCACTGCGGAGTGCGGGTACCTAAACACTCGTGATAGTTGCTGGAATCATCTTGATACTGTGTCTAGCCGCCCTATAGACAAAAACGGAGGATGAGAGAAGTACCAGCCATGAGGGAAGAAATGTTTATGAGTCATAAAATTACTATGTTCCTCCCTTTTATTTTTCTCCGTACATTGTCAACCTTTTTGCAGTTAAATCGTCTGAAAACAAGAACCTGCCTCATCTTGTCAAACGCTTTGGAAGTACTTGTAGATTCTTACTATCGGCCGAAAAAAGAAAATGTTAAACCTGGTGTATACCTAGAAACCCGTCAATAACGGTATTACAACGCTGATGTAATTCATGTGTTTTGTCTCCATAACATGCTGCTTAAATTGTATTCCGAAGCGCATGGACATTCAGGTACGTTACGATGATTCTGGCGTTTTTTTTTAACGTTTTCGGGCACCTTAATTGTAACTTAGAACGAAAATATTATGAGCCCTGTAATATTTTCTTATCTATAATGAATTAGTGCAAGAGTGAGAATGCACCAACTCGGAAAAACGAGGAGACCTGAAACATTGCACATTAAGTGAAGAAGTCACTAAAAGAAAAAGTATCTTCGCGTGAGAGACAAGTACGTAAGACGAGCTCTTAAAAATTCCCCTCAAAGTCTATTGGGAGAACCCTCTCATTTGCCCCCACTCTCACCCCTCCCATGTAAGACACTGCAGCGACTTGACGCTGTCTGTCCTCATAAAATGTAGACTATTAGCAGGGCCGGATGAAGGGGGTGGCCACATGGGCCACAGCCCATGGCGGCAAATCTGTAGGGGGCGGCTTTTGCGATTATTTTAAATGTAGGTGTAAAAAAAATCGAATTGAGGAAAAAAATTACAAACGAGAGAAGGCGACAAAATCTCTCATTTCCTGAGAGTATAGTAATTTCTAATTTTGTCGTCTTTCAGTGATACAAGAGAAAGAACCTTTAATTAGTCGAGTTAAGAGAGAAACCAAACACGCAATTTGGCCCGGAACGGCGCGACTTAGAGAGAAATGATGACGAGGGCTTGAGATGAAAAGAAGCCCTCGGCGCTACGGCGATCGGCATGTAACACATATTAGCGCCTACAAGACTGCACAAATACTTCACGCATTGCATCAAACACAGAGCGGTCATTGCGGTCAGCGTGAAACGGATAGCACCTACAAGACTGCGTGAATACTTCACGCATTGCGGCAAACACAGTGCGTTCAGCAGCGGTCGTCGGCGTGTAACTCATAGCGCCTACAAGACTGTCTGACTCTGAATACTTCACGCATTGCGCCGAACTCC